TAAGTCAAGAGACCTGTGTGTAGGTCCCGCTAAGTCCTGGAGGCTGTGCCTCCTTAGGTTAGGAAGAGACCTGTGGGTAGGTCCCGCTAAGTCTAGAGGCTGTACCTTCTTAGGTGAGGGGACCGTATACCCCTTTGTGTGTTAAGGACTGTGTAAGAGAAGACAATAAAGAGTGTGCCTCATAAGAAGTGTATTATCATTATAAACACTACATATGTATGTACAACTTCTTTCGTACAGTATAAAGCCAACCACGCCAATCAAACTGTTAAGAAAAAGCAAGGAGGGGGCTTAGGCTGGACACCACTCGATGGGATGATAGCCGATGGACAAAAACCGGTGCCGGAATTGCAGCCAAAGAAGAAAACAAGGGCAAGACAGAGCGATGAGGATTAGTTCAAGAGCGTGATGGATTGTGGCACCGCGCAGGGCAATGAGGGATGCCGATGGCATGGGGATCTGTTCATTCAGCAGTGCAGATACCAGGGCTGATGTTGACAATGTACATTTACATATACAGTACATTGACGATTAATTCTGTACAGAAAGTACAGCTGTTCCATTACGATTACTGTCAATCTTAGCTCATTACACCGAGGTTAAAACGTTCCCATATAAATAAGGTAAATTGTTCTAACTTTCTCAGCAGCCCAAGCGTAATGAATATTGGTGTACAGTGTCCACTCATGTGCTTCATCAAATATAATGGCATAGCGGGCACAAAAAACAAAACTCAATTAACCCTCGCACAGCACTCACTAAACACTACACCAGGAAGCAGAGTGCATTAGACACATTGTTTAAGGGAGGATGAGATACAATCCTGAACTGTATGACTGAAACCACTGCTGGCTGCAGGGCCTCAACTAGAGGGAACCCTAGAGAGGTGAGTGTGACAGTGAGACAGACCAAGGTGAGTGAGCAAGCGCGTGAGTCGCGAGCAAGGCAGCGTCCCTCTCACCGTTGCGTGGGGGGTCGGGCACGAGGCTGTGGCTGCCACTGCAGGTCGTGCACCCCCACGCGTAGCTCCATCGTGTGGCTGGCAAAGATAGTTGTCACCGATGGTGGCCGTGAGCAGGAATCCACCTACACCCTACACATACATAGACAGAGTTGTCATTAAAATGGATCCTCGAGTTGTATTGATTTCATGGTTTCAGCACAGCCACCAATGATTTACATCAAGACCCAGTGTGTCGCACAAGACACCCATAAGCGCACATAGAGACACAGACTCCCAATGAGTTGTGATTAAACCTGATCCTCCATTTCAGTGAGTTGATGGTCTCAGCTCAATCACCGATGACTTACGTAAAGAACAATAGACTATTCTGGAGATACGACTCCTCTACTTAGCCTGGCACCATCAGTAAACCTCATGGCACCTGGGTTTCCCCCGTGACCTTCTGCACCTAGCCTGGCACCATCAGTAAACCTCATGGCACCTGGGCTTCCCCCGTGACCTTCTGCACCTAGCCTGGCACCATCAGTAAACCTCATGGCACCTGGGTTTCCCCCGTGACCTCCTGCACCTAGCCTGGCACAATCATTAAACCCCTTGGCACCTGGGTCTGTCATATGACCTGCTGCACATTGCCTGGTAACATCAGTTAACCCATAACACCTAGGTCTGTCACGAAACCTCCTGCACCTAGCCTGGCACCATCACTCAAACCCGTGGCACCTGGGCCTGCAGAATGACCTTCTGCACCTTGCCTGGCATCATCAGTAAACCCCTTGGCACATGTGTCTGTCCAATGACCTCCTACACCAACCATGTCACAATCAGACAACCCAAAGTACCTGGGTCTATCCTGTGATCTTCTGCAGCACATAGCCTGGCATTTTCAACAACCCCTTGGCACCTGGGGTTGTCCTGTGACATCCGGTACTTAGCCTGGCACCACCAGTTAACACCTTGACACCTGGGTCTGTAGCGTGACCTCCTGCACATAGCCTCGCACAATCTATAAACCCCATGGCACAAGGATCTACCAGTTACATCCTGCACCTGGTCTGGCACCATAAGTCAACCCCTTGACACCTGGGTGTGTCCTGTGATATCCTGCACATAGCCTGGCACCACCAGTCAACCCCATGGCACAAAAGTCTGACATGTGACCTTCAGCACCACTCTTCCTGCCTGTACCCTCTCATCTCACTCTACCTCCCTCCACACACTCACCTGTCTCTCATCTCACTTTACTCCCCTCCACAAAGTGACTTGTCTCCCATTCTAGATTTGAAGTTTTCGTGACTGCAAAGATCCATACTCTTTAGTTCTTTCGGTAAAGTCACGTAGGTAAAAAATAAAATAAAACAAAAAGTGAAAACTAAATCAAATCACGGCGTTTCGGAGGCAGCACAAGCTTCCGTCATCAGGTGGCAACAGTCACAGCAAAATTACTGTGGTGAGTCGAGAGAGCTGTTTGTGACAAGAGATTATATCGGGTAAGAAGGGGGGAGGAGCCAGGGAGGACGGATGCAGGGTGGGGGGGTGTTGGGGGACGGAGATTAGAGAAGCTCCTGGGCATGGTACTCATGTACCACGGATGGGGGGGGGGGAGAGTGGGATGAGGGACAAATTTGCACGACTAAAACATTGCACGTCAAATTTCATAGTGATGGTAGTGTGTAAGGCTGGGAGTAAAAGACCGGAGATATGAATATAAACTATAAGGCAGTTAAAGTTTAACTTGGTTAATAACATCCTTCCAATGATTGCTCAATTGCTCAACACTCTCGTCCACTCACCTACCTCTCCCCTCTCATATCACTCTAGTCCACACGCTCACCTGTTTCTCCCCTCTCCTCAATCTACTTCCCTCCACAAACTCATCCGTCTCTCCCCACTCACCCTACTCGACTCCCCTTCACACTAACCTGTCTCTCCCCTTTCATCTCTCTACGCCCCTCCACACACTCACTGTCACTCCCCTCTAATCCGACTTTACTCCCTCCACATACTCTGCTGCCTGTCCCCTCTCATCTCACTCTACTCAACTCCACATACACAACTATCGTCCACTCTCATCCCATTGTACTCCCCTCCCCACACACACAATCACTTCCCCCTCATCTCACTCTAGGCCACAATCACCTGTCTCTCTCCTTTCATCTCATTCTACTCGTCTCCCCACTCACTGTCACTCCCCTCTCATACCACTGTAGTCCCCTCCACACACTCACCTGTCTCACACCTCTCATCCCACTCTGCTCACCTCAATACACTCATCCATCTCTCCCCGCTCATCGCACTCGAAACCCTCCACACACTATCCTGCCTCTCTCCCCTCTCTTCTAACTCTACTCCCCTCCACAAACTCACCTGTCTCTCCCTTATCGTCTAACTATACTACACTCCACACTCACCAGTCTCTCCCCTCATTTCCATGTACTCCCCTCCACACACTCACTGTCGCTCCTCTTGAATCCCCCTCTACGCCGCTCCACAAACTCCGCTTCCTCTGTACTCTCTCATCCACTGTGCTCCCCTCCCCACACTCACTAGGCTCTCACCTTTCATCTCACTCTACTCCCCTCACACACTAATCCATCTCTCTCCCCTCATCTCACTCTAGGCCACATTCAGCTGTCTCTCTCCCCTCTCATCTTACTCTAGGCCACACTCAGCTGTCTATCTCTCCTCTCACTCGAGGCCACACTCAGCTGTCTCTCTCTCCTCTCATCTCATTCTACTCCTCTCCCCACACTCACTGTCACTCCCCTCTCATACCACTGCAGTCCCCTCCACACACTCCCCTGCCTCTACCCTTTCACCTCACTCGACTCCACTCCACACACTCACCTGTCTCGCCTCTTTCATCTAACTCTACTCCCTACCATACACTAACCTGTCTCCCCCTCTCATCCCACTCTACTCCCCTCCACGAACTCACTTGTCTCTCCCGTCTCATCTCACTCTAGTCCACACTCATCTGTATCTCCCATCTCATCTCACTACTCCTCTCCATACACTCACTGTCACTCCCCTCTCATCCCACTCTACTCCCCTGCCTCTCCCCTTTCATCTAGCACTACTACCCTCGACACTCACCTGTCTCCTCCTCTCATACCACTCGACTCCGCTCCACACTCACCTAACCCCTCTCATCCCACTCTACTCCCTCAACAAACTCACCTGACCCTCTCATCTCACTCTACTCACCTTCACACACTCACCCGTCTCTCCCCTCTCATCTCACTCTACTCCCCTCCACACTCACCAGTCTCTCCCCTCATCCTAATGTTCTCCCCTCCACACACTCAGTCACTCCTCTCTCATCCCACTGTACTCTCCTCCACACACTCACCTGCCTCTCCACTTCCAACTTACTCTACTCCTCTCCACACACTCACCTGTCTCGCCCCTTTTATCTAACTCTACTCCCTACCATACACTAACCTGTTTCTCCCCTCTCATCTCACTCTAGGCCACAATCACCTGTCTCTCTCCTTTCATCTCATTCTACTCCTCTCCCCACTCACTGTCATTCCCCTCTCATACCACTGTAGTCCCCTCCACACACTCACCTGTCTCACCCCTCTCATCCCACTCTGCTCACCTCAATACACTCATCCATCTCTCCCTGCTCATTGCACTCGAAACCCTCCACACACTATCCTGCCTCTCTCCCCTCTCTTCTAACTCTACTCCCCTCCACAAACTCACCTGTCTCTCCCTTATCGTCTAACTATACTACACTCCATACTCACCAGTCTCTCCCCTCATTTCCATGTACTCCCCTCCACACACTCATTGTCGCTCCTCTTGAATCCCCCTCTACGCCGCTCCACAAACTCCGCTTCCTCTGTACTCTCTCATCCACTGTGCTCCCCACCCCACACTCACTAGGCTCTCCCCTTTCATCTCACTACTCGCCTCCACACACTAATCCATCTCTCTCCCGTCATCTCACTTTAGGCCACACTCAGCTGTCTCTCTCCTCTCTCATCTCACTCGAGGCCGCACTCAGCTGTCTCTCTCCTCTCTCATCTCACTCTAGGCCACACTCAGCTGTCTCTCCCCTCATCTCACTCTAGGCCACACTCAGCTGTCTCTCTCCCCTCATCTCACTCTAGGCCACACTCAGCTGTCTCTCTCCTTCATCTCATTCTACACCTCTCCCCACATTCACTGTCACTCCCCTCTCATACCACTGTAGTCCCCTCCACACACTCCCCTGCCTCTACCCTTTCACCTCACTCGACTCCACTCCACACACTCACCTGTCTCGCCCCTTTCATCTAACTCTAATCCCTACCATACACTAACTTGTCTCCCCCTCTCATCCCACTCTACTCCCCTCCACGAACTCACTTGTCTCTCCCCTCTCATCTCACTCTAGTCCACACTCATCTGTATCTCCCATCTCATCTCACTACTCCTCTCCATACACTCACTGTCACTCCCCTCTCATCCCACTGTACTCCCCTCCACAAACTCACCCATCTCTCCCCTCTCATCTCACTCAAATCTGCTCCACACTCACCTGTCTCTCCCCTCATCTCAATGTACTCCTCTCCACACACTCACAGTCACTAACCTCTCATCCCACTGTACTCCCCCCTAACACACTCCCCTGCCTCTCCCCTTTGACCTCACTCTACTCCACTCCACATACTCACCTGTCTCCCCCTCTCATCCCAATCTACTCCCCTCCACAAAGTCACCCGTCTCTCCCCGCTCATCTCTCTCTACTCCTCTCCACACACTATCCTGCCTCTCTCCCCTCTCCTCTAACTCTACTCCCCTCCACAAACTCACCTGTCTCTACCCTCTCTTCTCACTCCACTCTGCTCCACACTCACCAGTCTCTCCCCTCAATTCAATGTACTCACCTCCACACACTCACTGTCGCTCCTCTCGAATCCCACTCTACGCCCCTCCACACACTCTGCTTCCTATGTCCCCTATCATCCACTGTACTCCTCTCCACACACTCACCTATCTCTCCCCTCTCATCTCACTACTCCTCACAACACACTGCCCTGTCTCCCCCTCTCATCCCATTCTACTCCCCTTAATAAACTCATCCCTCTCTCCCCGCTCATCCCCCTCTACGCCCCTCCACACACTCTGCTTCCTCTGTC